TTGTGTTTATTCCATGTTTTAGGGCTCCTGGTGTTGTCCCTAGTTTTTTTTCCATTATCTTTATCATTTTTCATTTTATATTTAAGTCTTTGATCCCTTTTGAGTTAGTTTTTGTGCATGGTGTGAGGTATGGGTCTTGTTTCAGTTTTTTTCGGATGAATATCCAGTTATGCCAGCACCATTTGTTAAAGAAGACTGTCTTTTCCCCAATTAATGGACTTTGGGCCTTTGTCAAATATCAGCTGCTCATAGGTGGATGAAATTATGTCTGGATTCGCAATTCTGTTCCGTTGGTCTATGTATCTGTTGTTATACCAGTACTAGGCTATTTTGACTACCGTGGCAGTATAATAGCCTCTAAAATCAGGTAGTGTGAGGCCTCCCACCTTGTTCTTTTCCTTGAGTAATGCTTTACTTATTCGGGGCCTCTTCCCTGTTCATATGAAGTTGGTAATTTGTTTATCTATCTCGTTAAAAAATGCCAGTGGGATTTGGATCGAGATTGCATTGTATCTGTAGATTGCTTTGGGTAGAATTGACATTTTCACTATGTTGAGTCTACCTATCCATGAGCAAGGCATGTTTTTCGACTTATGCAGGTCTCTTTTGGTATCTTGCAGTAGTGTCTTTTAGTTTGCATTGTATAGATCTTTTACGTCTCTGGTTAGATTTATTCCTAAGTATTTTATCTTCTTGGGGGCTATTGTAAATGGTGTTGATTTGGTGATTTGGTCTTCGAGGTTGTCTTTGTTGGTGTAAATGAATCCAACTGATTTTTGTATGTTTATCTTGTATCCCGAAACTTTGCTGATATCTTCTATTAGTTCTAGTCATTTTCTTGTGGATTCTTTGGGGTTTTCTGTGTATAAGAGCATATCATCTGCAAATAGAGATACTTTGACTTCTTCCCTACTGATTTGGATGCCCTTTATTTCTTTTTCTAGCTTAATTGCTCTGGCTAGGTCTTCCAGCACAATGTTAAGTAAGAGTGGTGATAAAGGGCATCCGAAATACACTAGGCACTCTTGACTCCTTATTTCAAATGAGAATTGCAGACAAATCTGTTTTTAGGATTATCGGTAGAAATATTCCTCTTTAATATTTTGCAACATTTGACACTGTTTGAGTACATGTGATTAAAATAACAAAATGTTCACCAAATAAGCATGTTGATACTATGTCAGAATGAGACATGACCAGGAAGAGCTTAGATGATAGACTGCAATGATGATAGACAATGGAAGACAGATAATAGGCTTGGTGATAACATAAAGTGATTTCACTGGAATTGTGAAAATGTTTCTTTCATTTTATCCTGTGATTGAGCTTTATTTTCATCACCAGACACAGTGACAGGGTGGACATAATGTTCTTTTGAATGGCTCTGTATTTAGCCAGGCCAAGTTCTTGATTTTAAAGTGCTATGGATTTCAAGTGACTGTAGGATGAAACTCCCAAGAGTTACTTTGAAGTTTGTAGGTGAAATTCTGTCAACTTATTTTATGAGAGTTCTGAATCTCTGAAATTAAGTATATAAAATTTCTGTGGTCCATTGGGCTTCATGATAACAGTCCAGAATTTATTTCATTCCTGGCAACCTGGAGTGCTTTCAGTAAAGGTTTGCACTGACCCCATTATTGTGTGCTTGCCCTGAATTTTGAGTGTTTCTCAATAAAGCAAAGTTATTTGATTATATGACTAGGACTGTTCCATACACTGGTTTTCATCAAGACCAAATGTAGAAAGCTTATTCTGCTAGTGTACAGCTGATATTCCCTCCACATACAAGAGTCTTCGCACTTTAAAAAGTGAGAACAAGTTTTCCAACAGGGTGAACTTAATTTTTGGCTTCATATTCTTCAAAAGCATAGCTATTCATTCTCTGTATTTTCTCTTATATGGAGAGAAATTTGCTAGATTAATTTAACTTACATTTAAAGCTTTTGAGTGATAGTCATGTTCCATTCAGGAAAAATTTAATAGTTTATGTGTGAATTATAGGGGAATACATTTATAATATTTCTCTAATCTCAGTAACACACAGTGCTGGTGCCTTCTGTAGCAACCTGTGTTAAACTAGTAGTGAATTCTATAAATTGTACTTCTTAGGTTGAAGGTTGAAAGAGTAATTTAATCAAGCAGAGTTCTTTTCTTTTTTGTTTTATTTTATTTTTAAAGATAACAGATGGTTCACAGACTAGAATACATTGATGATCTTATATCAGTAAGTCCAATGCAAGGTGATTCCAGAGACCAAGATGGCTAGAACTAATAGAGAGTACATTCAAGGCTGTAATACTGAGGTGAAGAAATGCCAATGGATTCCCACTCAGATTCCCAGGATATAGGCCATATGTCTCTCTGCTGGTCAGGCGATGGTGAGGTCCCTTGATTGATTGTCCTATTAAGACTGCGTCCAATGTATTAGCACATTTTAGTGATTATTCTCCATACCATAGGATGGTAATGCAATAGATGTTCACAACAGGAAGAAAACTTGATTGTTGCAGGTAGATACATACTTCTAAAAAGAGCTAAGTTTACTCCTCTCAAAAGGTTTGATCTCTCTTGGAGAAGTGGCCAATCAATAGAATTTACTTTCTCACCAAATGGAGCAAATTACCACAGAATGTCTTCTAAAATAATAAAACTTTAAAAAAATATTTTGTATTCCTTAAAAAAGAAAGAAAAAATGAGTATATTGTTTTAACTACTCAGAGAGATTTAGTATTATGTTCATGTTTGGCTTAATATTCTAGTATGCCATTATTTTACATGGTCAGTATGTTTTTCATGAAAAACATTTTCCCAAGATAAAAACTTCTGAAAAAAGTCCATCAAATATTGAATTCTAAAAGGTACTTTGTGTTCATTTTTGAAAAGACAGAGTATCTCTATATTAATAATATTAACTGCAGAATATGTTTATTCATAAAGAGATGGTATTTAAAATTCTCCAAAATTTACAACACCTTTTTGATATTACAGCATTTGTAGTAAATTTTATTTTTAAGTGTTAGTGTGATGTGTATAGATGGAAGTGAATAGTTCCATGTTATAAAAGTGAATATAGATAACAAGATAGGAACAAGATGGGCCTAAATAAATAATCTACATGAAGAGTAATGTTCACATAATGTTGAATTATAGCTCATATAGATAACTGTGAAGCTAAAGCAAAAAAAAAAAAAAAGGTTGACTGCACAAAAAGGTTGTTTCTATCTTGATTATGAAATCAGAGATGCATTAGCAATTTCACAAAAGACACAAAAAAACATTTTCTCACATGATCTCAGTTTGCTATAATATCAAAGATAAAGTCAAATTTTATAAAGAATATGTTAGTGTAAGACTGCCAGTATATGGACATACGTGAAATAACTATATAAAGGTGAGGCAGGAATGATGAGGTTTACTGAGTGTTGCCCTTATGAAGTTGAGAGAGAGCATATTTATAGTAGAGTAGACTTTTTGAAATTGCATCGGTCATTTGTGGTTTGCGGGTGTCATTTATTTCTTGTGTGACAGGTATGGGTTTGTTTCAGACCAAATTATATAATGTGGAGCCCTGGTCGCACAGCGGTTAAGTGTTTGGCCGCTAACCCAAAGGTCGGCAGTTTGAATCCACCAGCTGCTCCTTGGAAACCCTATGGGCAGTTCTACTCTGTCCGTTCGGGTCACTATGAGTTGGAATTGACTTGATGGCAGCGTGTTTTTTTTTTTTTTTTTTAGCAATTTAGAGTTCTTTAAGGAGGCCAAAAGGCAATTTTTCTCACCATAATTTATTTATAATGTTATTCCCAATTAAGAATAAATGTCTAAAATAAAAATAAAGTAAAACATTCCATGAATGGATATGCTGTATTTGGGAGTATCTTTAGGATAGTCAAAGCCGAATCATCCTTCTAGATCTAGAATAGCCTCTGATGAAGAACTCATATTCTGTGTCATCAAAAATTTCTTGCAAGGCACCTATTAGGTCCCTTCCCTATCTAGCATAGAACAATTTAGAAAAGACTTTACTCACCTTCCAATTGCTAATTAAAACAAGCAGTAGTTTTTTTTTTTTTTTATTGTTGTAGTTTAAGTGAAAGTTTACAATTCAAGTTATTCTTTTATATAAAAATTTATACATACACTGTTATGTGACCCTAATTGCTCTCCCTATACTGTGACAGCCCCCTTCTCCTTTCCACCCCTGATTTCCCATGTCCATTCAACCAGCTCCTAACCCTCTCTGCCTTCTCATTTCACCTCCGGACAGAAGCTACACATTTAGTCTCATGTATCTACTTGAGCTAAGAAGCACACTCTTCATGAGTATCGTTTTATGTCCCACAGTCCAGTCCAATCTTTGTCTGAAGAGTTGGCCTCAGGAATTGTTTTAGTTCTGGGTTTACAGAGAGTCCAGGGGCCATGCTTTCTGGGGTTCCTCCAGTCTCAGTCAGACCATTAAGTCTGGTCTTTTTACTAGAATTTGAGTTCTGCATCCCACCCTTCCCCTGCTCCATCAGGGACTCTTGTTGTGTTCCCTGTCAGGGCAGTCATTGGTGGTAGCCGGGCACCATCTAGTTTTTCTGGTCTCAGGCTGATGAAGTCTCTGGTTTATGTGGCCTTTTTCGTCTCTTGGGCTAATACTTTCCTTGTGTCTTTGGTGCTCTTCATTCTCCTTTACTCCAGGTGGTTAGGACCAATTGATGCATCTTAGATGGCTGCTTGCAAGCTTTTAAGACCCCAGACACCACTCTCCAAAGTAGGATGCAGAACATTTTCATAATAAACTTTGTTATGCTAATTGACCTAGATGTCGCCTGAAAGCATGGTCCCTAGACCCCTGCCCCTGTTACTTTGTCCCTCAAAGTATTTGACTGTATTCAGGAAACTTCCTAGCTTTAAAACAAGCAATAGTTTTTTAAATAAAATAACTATTGTCACACTTATAATATTTTCACTCCTTTACCTAATTTTAAATTTGACTTTCTCTCTTTTTGATCTTCTAGGGACCCTTACAATGCAATTGAAGCCATAGACCCAGAGAAACTGAATGTCTTTCGGACAGTGAGAGAGATAACTGGTAATTTTAAAAAGTGCAGTTGTTGTACTATGTGAATTTTGGTGTTTTCTTGAAAACATTTCATAATGTTGGAATCAGCAACTCATTTCAAAGCAAATCCTAGTTGCTAAAAATTCATGTTTTTTAAGCAATAGGTATCTAACCCCTTAGCTTTTATGCATATTTATTAAGTATACGAAATTACAGAAATAAAATATTCATTACATTTTGACATTACTGTTTTTGCAAGTATCATCTGATCCTTGAACCCATTGTGGCATAGGGGTTAAGAGCTATGACTGCTAACTAAAAGATTGACAGTTCAAATCCATCAGACACTCCTTGGAAACCCTATGGGGCAGTTCTGCTCTTGCCTGTAGGGACACTATGAGTTGATACCGACTTGACGGCAATGGGTTTGGCTTTTTTTTTTAACATATAGTATTAATTTAGCACATATTTAGTGAGAACCTAGTATCTTCAAGGAGTCCCTGGGTGGTGCAAATGGTTAACACACTCAGCTACTAACTGAAATGTTGGAGGTTCGAGTCCATCCAGAGGTGCTTCAGAAGAAAGGCCTGCCCATCTACTTCTGAAAAATAAGCCATTGAAACCCCTACGGAACACAGTTCTACTCTAACACATGAGATCGCCATGAGTCAGATGAGTTAGACATGGATTTGCCATCAAATAATGTAAAATCCAATAAAGAAGATTAAATATATCCATAATGACTTGTAGTGCAAGTTGGACACTAATGTCATAAATGAGCAGATAAAATGATAAACAATTTTCAGAGGAAAGCTTGGAACTACAGTTTTCTTTTTATCTAGTTACACAAAATATTTTTGTTCTTAGAAGAATAAGTCAAATTAAAAATCATTTAAATGGTGAGCAATTAGGGTCTCATAACAGTGTATGTAAAAAAAATTGTATGGGAGACTAACTTGAAATGTAAACTGCATTTAATTACAACAATAAAAAAATGAGAAATGCGAAGACCTGTTAAGAAGGAATGTGGGGTGAAAAAGAAAATGAGTTACAGAGAAGAAAAAAAAAAAGAAAATGTTCTGCATCCTACTTTGGTGAGTGGTGTCTGGGGTCTTAAAAGCTTACAAGCAGCCATTTAAGATGCAACAATTGGTCCCAACCACCTGGAGTAAAGGAGAATGAAGAACACCAAAGACACAAGGAAAGTATTAGCCCAAGAGACAGAAAAGACACATAAACCAGAGACTTCATCAGCCTGAGACCAGAAAAACTAGATGGTGCCCAGCTACCACCAGTGACCACCCTGACAGGGAACACAACAGAGAATCCCTGATGGAGCAGCAGAAAGGTGGGGTGCAGAACTCAAATTCTAGTAAAAAGACCAGACTTAATGGTCTGTCGGAGACTGGAAGAACCTGGGAAAGCACTGCCCCTGGATTCTCTATCAGCCCAGAACTAAAACAATTTCTGAGGCCAACTCTTCAGACAGGGATTGGACTGGACTGTGGGACATAAAGTGATGCTCGTGAGGAGTGTGCCTCTTAGCTCAAGTAGATATGAGAGACCAAATGGGCAGCTTCCTTCTGGAGGTGAGATGGGAAGGCAGAGAGGGTTAGGAGCTGGTTGAATGGACATGGGGAATCGGGTGGAAAGGAGGAGTGTGCTGTCACAGTATGGGGTGAGCAATTAGGGTCACATAATAATGTATGTATAATTTTTGTATGGGAGACTAACTTAAAATGTAAACTTTATTTAAACTACAACAATTAAAAAAATAAAAGATGCATATTCTTGCAAAAAAAAAGAATCATTTAAATGTTTTCATATCTACATTTACATGTTTCTATATATCTCAGAAACATAGATAACTGATTATTTTGATACTCATTATTTGTTGAGTGTTATAGCCCAGGATTACACCTCAACATAAAGAAAATGAAAATCCTCACAACTGAATCAATTAGCAACATCATGATAAAAGGAGAAAATATGAAAGTTGTCAAGGATTTAGTTTTACTTGGATCCAGCCAACGCCCATGGAAGCAGCAGTCAAGAAATCAAACAACGTATTGCACTGGGCAAATGTGCTTCACAAGAGATCTTTAAAGTTTTAAAAAGCAAAGATGTCACTTTGAGAATTAAGATGGGCCTGACCCAAGCCATTTTCAATTGCCTCATATACGTACGAATGCTGGACAATGAATAAGGGAGACTAAAGAAGAATTGATGCCTTTGAATTATGGTGTTGGTGAAGAATATTGAATATACCATGGACTTCCAGAAGAACGAACAAATGTGTCTTGGAAGAAGTACAGCCAGAATGCTCCTTAGAAACCAGGATGGCGAGACTTCATCTCACGTACCTTGGACATGTTATCAGGAGGGACCAGTCCGTGAAGAAGGACATCATGCTTGGTAAAGTAGAGGGTCAGCGAACCTCAGTTAGATAGATTGACACAGTGGCTGCAACAGTGGGCTCAAACATAGGAACGATTGTGAGGATGTCACAGGACCAGGCAGTGTTTTGTTCTGTTGTACATAAGGTCTCTCTGAGTCGGAACCAGTTCTATGACACCTAACAACAATAACTACAACATCATAGCCCAGAAATGTTGGTTAAGACATTCAGTCTTAAAGGAATGCATCAAATATGTGATAGAATGGTTTAAAAACAGGAATGTGCACTGTTTATTTTCTTACTTTTCCTCTTTCAACACATTTTCATATCATGTCATGTCAAGAATAATCAGTATTAAACACTATGATTAAGATAGTGAAATTCTGATATTTTTTCTCTTTTACTGTCCTTATTTTTTGTAGGCTTCTTGAACATACAGTCGTGGCCCCCAAACATGACCGACTTCAGTGTCTTTTCTAACCTGGTCACTATTGGTGGAAGAGTGCTGTATAGGTAGGTGCATATATTTAAAGCTGCAGGTCTCCCAAACTTCAAGAATAACATCATGTGGATATTATGCCACATCCCTCAACCTCATGGATTTAGGTGATCTAGAAATACTAGATATAAGAAATATTATATATTCCTTAAAAAAAACTAAGGATATTACTCGAATTACTGAGAAAGCTTTGGTGTTATGTGTATGTTTGGTCTAATATTCGAGTATGCAGTTATTTTCCAATTTTTATTCCAAAGATAAATACAATGAAAACTATCTCTGATGGTACTATAAAGTATACATAATACACAATTTGATTTTTCAAATGCCATTCATTTGAATATTAGTGTTTTACAGGTATGGAGTGCATGATGTAAAGCATAAAATTAAACCATTGTTTTGTTCATATGTTACTGTTATTAAAAGATAGCATTGGGTGACTTGAGAATGGCTCAGATGTGCAGGATATGAACGCTGTTGGACCAGGAGGAGCTGGTTTTGTCTCTGGTGCTGTCATTAGGACCAAAGATTATAGGACTGGTGTTTCAGAATTGGTCTGTGATCCTACATGAAGTGCTAGTTAATAAATGGATGGGTAAATCAGAGGTCAGAAGGATACTATCCTAAAGTTCTAATGTGAATATTTTTAATTCACATGATAAAAAATTTATGAATTAGTCTTTATTGAACCATTGCTTTTTTTTTAGTTTTGCCTCAGGTTTCAGCTATATGAAATTCTTATTTATGAACAGTTAAAAGTTAATTTAATAAGAATATTTTTATTTAGTTTGTTTAAATCTGAAAGATGACTAAAATAAATAATAGTTGAAAATAGTAATGTTTCACAGAAAAAATGTTTAATTTTGCAATTAAAACAGGTATATCTATATGAAATTTTTAGAATGTAAAGGGAGAAGGGTAGTTGAGAGACACAGTCTATTCAAGTGCTGCACTCAGCCAACTTTTACTATCCATTAAATGAAATGCTTTAAATCAGTCAATACATTGTGCTGACATGGTATTTGACAACTCAAGGATGCTATGATGGGAATGAATCTTGAGAAAATCAATTGCACCTGAGAATTCATCATTGAGCTACTGGTTTACATATATAGCATGTGGAAAATAATTCTTAGTCTTAACAGCAAAGTATGTTTAGAATTATAAATGAAGGAGGATAGCTTTGATGTCCAAATTTAAAATAATGTTCATTAGTTGACTGAAATGTGGGAAGTATATTTATTCTTTAGAGAATGGAAAATGAAGATAATTACAAAAAAAAAAAAGACTCAGCTGAAATAAAAACAATTTCCTTGAAAAGATAATTGGTTTCCACAGAGTAGTTTTTATTTAAATTTTAGAGAAGCTTTCCCCAGTTGCCCAAGTCTTCTGAGTATTTTTAATTTTTTGTTTGTTTTCATTCTTCTATTTAATTTTTAATAATCTTCTCTCCTTATACTTTCTTTGACTACTACAATTATAATGCTTTGGTTTCTGAGGTATAAATTAAAACTAAATATCTATAGTCATTATCTGCATTATCTAAATCTATTAATTATAGTAATATTAATGTTTTACTCTGGGTTGATGAACAACCATTAAGTAAAGACTTATTCTTAAAACAAGATTCTGTGCTTGAGAAACTTAGAAATTCAGGGAGGGTGAGGCAGTGAGTAGATACTTCATTGGTGGATGAGTTGAAATTGACAGCAGTGGGTTTGGTTTTGTTTGGTTTGGATATACAGCAATAGAGATAGCACGATTATTTGTAATTCTAAGAAATGAACATTTTCATTTTGGGAGTCAAATTATCACTTTTAAAACTGACAGTATATAGCATATAAAGAAAAAAATACCATTCTGAGAACAGATTTATTGATTCAATCTCTGCTTATGTTCTATTAACATAATTTTTGGAGTACAACATGACATCCTTATTTTACTTCAGGAATGCTTTTCAATACCAGAAAATATTTATTATTGTTGCATTTTCCCCTGCCTCCTTTTAGTGGCCTCTCCTTGCTTATCCTCAAGCAACAGGGCATCACTTCTCTTCAATTCCAGTCTCTGAAGGAAATCAGCGCAGGAAACATCTACATAACCGACAATAGCAACTTATGTTATTATCATACCATTAACTGGACAACGCTCTTCAGCACTATCAACCAAAGAATAGTGATCCGGGACAATAGGAAAGCTGAGAACTGTAGTAAGTACATTACTTAGATGTGAAAACATACACACTTTACACATTTTCTACCATTCTACACTAGACCAAACAGTTAAAGATAACCATAGTTCAGAAGTGTTACTCTCTTATCTCAACGCTTTTTAGAGATAGTTGTAGTATGCTTAACTACATGGTATAAACTGATGTAGAGTAGGAGATTTTTTATACTGCATCTCGATGTTTGCAAAACTTGCCTAATCATGGAGCCCTCCTCTGGAGATCTGGATTCAGTAGTTCCAGGTGGAAACTGGGAATATAAATGTTTAATAAGCATCTTAGGTAATTCCTTGGATCAAATCAGTTCTTGGAAATTCACTCTGTTGTGTTCTCTGTGCTTTTTGGTTCCAGTGAATTTGTAACATAGATTACGTAAGGTATTTGCCATTTGGAGGTGATGGAAAAAATGAAGACACCTTCTGAAATGTTTAAAAATTACTGTTTAAAAAGTGTACTGTAAAGAGATTTGAAAAAATGCATTTCTGTAGGCATGTCACTATGTCCTTTTTCATCTATTTTACTACTTATTGATCTGCTTTTCTTCTTTGTAACAGAGAAGCAAAGAATTATTTCATGGGAAACGTACCTGTTTTTCTTAGGCACATAATTATGCTGTCTCTATCTTGTACTTAGATTAATACCACGTATACAATGATTAATACTTAATTTTTCCCTGTGTTTCTACTGAGTATAACTCTCTTCTACATCCTTTTAGTTTCATTGCTCTGCCCATAGAATGTCTGACATATTTATGATAAATACCAAAGAAGAAAACTCAAAATTCAAATGATCGATTTAAAAATGTATATTCTTGTTGAGGTCATGCTGAGGCCGTCCCCTTGAAAAGCCACATCCTCTAAGAAAAATTTCAGTCTCAGTATGTCTCCTTAATTCTTTGATCTCACCGTTGGAATAATTATAAGGTTATACATAAATAATGATTGAGCCTTTTTTTTTTGGGAGGGGTGAATGAATAGTAGAGAATTTTATTATTATTATAAACTCTTAAGAGGTCAACATGATTTAAGTTGTCACTGAAATAATTTATCTATTAATACACCATCTTGCTTCAGAAAGATTTTAAGGCAACTTAGGCTAGCAAATAAGGAATGTTAGACCTGTCAGTTTTCACAAAATATAACTAATAATTTTTGAAAAGCTCATAGTTTAGCTGCTTTAGATCCTTAGAAATATTTTTCCAGAGAAATGAGAACTATCGTAGCACGAGGTTTCTATTCTAGTGCATTTAAGTTCTTATACATTCTTCTGTTCCACACAGAATCAAGACACATAAAACCTGATTATGTATCAAAATATGCATGCTCACATTAAATGAGATTCATCTTTTCGTATAGCCTAGGTTATTTCCTTGGTTCTATACATTTCTGATTCCTGACTGAAAGCTTGCTTTTCTTATTCTCCAGTACTCAAACTTCTTGCCCCACGTTACTGTTTATATTTACATATGTGCCCAGACGCAGTAGATTATTCATGGCAGTAAAATAACAGTGTTAATAATAATAGCAACAATAATTCAGGATTATAATAATAGTAACAACAGTAATATATCACCAATCACTTCATTAATCCTTTCGTCCTTTGTGATAATTTTTATATTATACATATGAAGTGAATGCTAATCACACAAATAAGCCAATAATCTACCTTCTCTCTTTAAGTCTCCTTTTCTTCTACCTCTTTCAAAAAAGAATAGTATTACTAACATTCAAAGATAAGGTTTAACTATGAAGAAAAAACAATGTGAAGGAAATAAAATCAAAGAACATTCATTTTTGACACGTTTAATCATTTTGCAAATCCTACCAACATTCATATTTCTTTTAGCTTAAATACATCTGAGTACAATGCCATATGAGAAGAAGAAAATACAGAAAGACATTAAATGGCTCGGGGGACATTTATGTCAATTGGCACAACAGTTCATAAAGGCAAAGTTCTGCATCCTACTTTGGTGAATAGCGTCTGGGGTCTTAAAAGCCTGTGAGTGGCCATCTAAGATACAACTATTGGTCTCTTACCATCCAGAGCAAAGGAGAGTGAAAAAAACCAAAGACTCAAGGGAGTAATTAGTGCAAAGGACTAATGGATCACATGAACCACAGCCTACACGACCCTGAGACCACAAGAACTAGATGATGCCTGGTTACCACTACTGACTGCTCTGACTGGGATCACAATACAGAGCAGGAGAAAAATTTTAGAACAAAAAATCAAATTCACAAAAAAGACCAGACTTACTGGCCTGACAGAGACTAGAGGAACCCTGGAGACTGTGGCCTTTAGACACTCTTCTTAACAGGAACTGAACCATTCCCGGAGACCACCTTTCAGTCAAACCATAGACAGGCCCATAAAATAAACAATAATACCCAAGAGCAATATGCTCCTTTGAACTGTCAGTTATGTTAGAACAAAAGGGCAGCATTTGTCCAAAAGCAAAGATGAGAAGGTAGGAAGGGGTAGAAAAGCAGGATGAAAGGAAATGGGGAAACTAGGATGGAAATGGGGAGAGTGCTGACACATTGTGGGGAATGAAACCAATGTCATGGAACATTTTATGTACAAACTATTGAATGGGAAACTAATTTGCTTTGTAAACTTTCACCTAATGCACAATAAAAAATAAAAAATATATCCATAAAAAAGAAATTAAATGGAAAAAAGCAAGATAGAAAAAAGAGAATTCAATAAATTATATGATGCTATTCTGTATCATTTTAAGACTTCTAAACTTTTCAAACCACCATAATAGAGAAAAAACTAATAAGCTAAAAATCTAAAATATTCTTCAACTTTTCAGTGCTATCTCTTGTGGATTGAGTTTGTCTTTTTTGCAGACCATGAACATATTTCCTTGTTTTCTAGGCTTAGAATTGACTTGGCAGTTTGGTGAAGAAATGAAGCAGTTAGTGAAAATGCAGTTTTGTATTGGTGCAACTGTTAAGCTTTTGGCAGTTAACTGAAAGGTTGGCAGTTCGAACCCACCCAGAAACTCCATGTGAGAAAGGCCTAGTTATCTGCTCCTAAAGCCTAGAAAATCCTATCAAGCAGTTCTACTCTGTCACGTGGGGTCACTATGAGTTGGAATTGACTGGATGGCACCTAACAACAACAGCATTGTGTAAAATTAAGCATATTTTCATGTTTAACATCTTAGAATAAATTTTGCATGAAATCTGTTTTTCAAAATTCAGATTTCAGTCTCACAGTATATTGAATCTATGAACACCCCATATCCTGCATTTTCACAAATGCAATTACTGTGAAGATGGCTTCAGAAATTATAATACTGACGTTTATAATGAGCCATGATAGTTCTCCATATATGATTAAACCGTTTTTATCATCTATGATACTATCTACAAATAGGAAGCCTTAATATTTGCTTCATTTTAAATATACTATAAATACTGATTTATAGATATCGTCTTTAGATATACACCACATATACAATGTACCCATGAGCATACACACACATATACACAATACTTATGTGTGCCTGCAAACATAGAAGATGTGTATATATGCACACACACACATGCATGTACACAACACCTAGAACACACATACATACAACTCATACATGCACGCTTAAATATATGCTAACCAGTATAAAATACTGTGATTTAAATTTGGGAATTGGCTTATTCGCTTAAAAGAACAGGAAGCCCTTGATTTATAGGTTTTTATTTTTAAAAGTTCAACATGATTTAAAACAGTAGTAACGATAGAATAAAAACTTCAACTCTTCTTTAAACGGTGACAATGGCTTGAGAAATCTCGCTATTTTAAATCAAAAATGTCAAAGCACAACTTTATAGTTTGAAGAGATTGAGATTAAGAGAAACTCCGGGGTATGAAAGTATAGGATATTTTCTGCCTCTTTCATTTACGTGCTTATGGCTCTGACAAAATGATGATGCTAGTTGGAAGGAGCATTAGGTTAGGTTTATGATAGTTTTTGAAATTTCTTAAAATATTTAAGTATAAACTTTTAACACTGAAAAGTAAAAAGTATAGAGATAAATTCAGTGCTTCAGAATGAGTTACATTTGAACTCGTACATCTCGTATCTTAAAAATGTTTGTATCAGACACTTAAACCCAACATGAACAAAAGAGAGATTAATTTCACTGTTAACTTTCTGAAATGGAAGGATGTTTATTTTTCTAATTACAACAGTAGCTTTCTTATTGTTGGAAACTGAAGCACTAAAAACATATATAAAGAAGATAGTAACCTCCCCACTGTAATCTTATTATTTAGGATGGCTATGATTAACATTTTGGGGCATATATATGCAAATATATAAATAGATATAGGTAATGAAACATACATTTTCATATGTAAGTGGGATCATACCATATTTATAAATACTGTTTAGCCACCTGTCATGGATTGAACTTTGTGTTAATTCAGCTAGGCCATGATTCCCAGTATTGTGTGGTTGCCCACCATTTTGTCATCTGATGTGATTTTCCTATGTGTTGTAAATCCTGTCTCTATGATGTTGATGAGTTAGGATTAGTGGCAGTTATGTTAATGAGGCAGGACTCAATCTACAAGATTGGATTGTCTTGAGCCTATCTCTTTTGAGATATAAAAGAGAGAACAAGCCGAGAGACAGGGGAACCTTATACCACCAAGAAAGCAGCACCAAGAGCAGAGCATGTCCTTTGGACCCGGGGTCCCTGCACCTGAGAAGTTCCTACACCAGGGGAAGATTGATAACAAGGGCCTTCCTCCAGAGCTGACAGAGAAAAAACCTTCCCCTGTAGCTGACACCCAGAATTTGGATTTCCAGCCTCCTAGACTGTGAGAGAATAAATTTCTCTTTGTTAAAACCATCCACTTATGATATTTCTATTATAGCAGTACTAGATAACTAAGATACGACCCAGGAACAAATATTTGCTAAACCTATTATTATTCATTTTCTGTTGACTGTGACAATAGCAAAA